GGGGCTGATTTGAATTCGACTAATAGATAACTATTTTGTAACTGCCTAGAGTTGTTTTCTTTTTAGGCTATGTGTTTTACTACAAAGGAGAGATAACACCTAACACAATTCAACTTACTCCATTGAATTGAAGACCCAACATCAGATAAGTAGTCACCCAATTTGTTTGTAGGAAATAGGACTTGTGAAAGGGGACATTTTGTACTAATTTGCACTTCGATTTGTTATAATATGGGAAACAATTCCCATAACGACGCACCAACCATATTGAACACGATAACTCTAAATTAAGTAGGAAGCCACAAATTCTGTTATTTGAATTGAAAATAAAAGCCTAACAAATTCTGCTATTTGTAAGTGACTCAGCAGCAGAACCCTACTTCTTTCATCTTCACTTTGTACTTTAGTGTTCGCCTATGAAACCGGAAAGATATAATACTAAAAAATCTTACAGCCAATAAATCAGTGGTAGAGGGGTCAAACCTCTTTTGGTACCATATCTTTTCGGTATCACAGATTTTCCCTCTATTATTTTCATTTTGGTGCATTTTCTTAAGTCAACAAACAAACATTGCAAGGGAGAACCAAAAGGCAAAATTTAGAAAACCACCTTAATGAATTATCAACTCAAAGATAACCAAGAGAGACGAATTATCAATTCAAACCATATTAATAAATAGAGGTGTAAATCGGGCCGTGCCGCCCATGGCCCGGCATGATGGTCTACGGGCTATATTGGTCCTGGGGTTTTAGGTCCACGGGTCAGTATGGCATAGCCTGCAGCTCGACCTAGTACGGCCCGCAACATGGTCCATATATATTATTTATATAATATTATATAAACTATAATTATATAATAATATATAGTATATAATTTATTAATAAAATAAATATTTTTTTCAATTTTATTATACTAATTTATTTAGTTATTGTATATATAAGCAATTGTATACACAAAATTCATATAAAGTTAAAATTTTAAGTTTTTTGTCATTTTTTTTAAATAAATAGCTTTGGCCTGATGCACGGCCTGACTTGACCCAAGGCTCGACCCATGGTCTAGCCCAGCCCGCGGTATGACACAACACGACATGGACCCGCATGGGCCTGGACCATGAACTGTGTCGGATTAACCCCCAAAATTTTCATCAGAGATGGCAACACGACCCGTAACAACCCACGGGCCAACACAGCACAGCCTGCACAAAATGCACCCGCAGGCCGTGCTGTGCCAGCCCGGCCTAACCCACTTTACACCTCTACTAATGRATGAGGTCATCATCGTCCTATCCAATATACTAATTGGCCACGCCTCTGGTAGTTTTATGCACCTGTTAATGCATACAGGACCAGAATTATTACCGAAATATAACCTTATTAGCCCACGCCTCTGGTAGTTTTATGCACCTGTTAATGGATCTTATGCTGTGTTGCTTGCAGTGTAATTTTATTTGTACTAGTATAAATGTATGAAAATATAAATGAAAAAAAATGTAAATTCTTGATTAATTTTGTTCTAGGTTTTACTTTATTCTATTTCATGTTTTAAATTACTTTATTTGTATTGCAATTAAACAAAATAAATTAAAATTTCAAATAAAAATAAATCGAAATTTGCATTCAAATCATTTGCACTGTCATAGTTTCGCATCAGTGTAAATTTATTTACATTGCAACCAAATACATTAAGGACATGAGTTARTATTGGGTCCATGTATATTGATGCCGCGTTGTTGGTACTGATTACTGATTCATATTAGGTGGGAAGAAATTGGCTGTATATGCTCGACAACCACTGCTGTTCACAGGGCTCTCCCTACTTGACATATTTGTTTCTCTAAACTTCATGCAGCAGCAACAGTATTGAAGGCATTGACCTTATGATTAAGGGGGCATTGATCTCCATCATGGATATTATTGTTTTCATTTATTTTTTAAATCACCACATCAGCAAATAAAAAACGAAAATATGTTCTTGAAATCTATTTTTATTTTAAAATAAAAAACAAGTTAATTTTATTTCACAAAAAAAAGCATAATTTTAGAGCCATCAACAAAAATAAATTTTGTAGTGTATAAATTATATGATCTATAGAACATCATACATGATATATTAAATAAGCAGATGAAAACATGACCTCGAAATTATAAATTCCAAAACATGTTTTCATTTTCAATTTTGAAAACACCCCCTGAAGTGTCATGTGGTGAGAGCCCTATATATACCTTTGTTTTTCCCTTTAAGAATGACCATTGCATATTTCTAGTCATCAGTCAAAATGGCAAATTCACCACCAAAGTGATTGTGAATTCTAGGGGTGATCAAGAAAAACCGAACCGAACTGATGAGACCAAATTGATAGTTCTGGTTAACCAAATTGATCGTTTGGTATTTAAAAAAAAAACAAAGGTACCAATTCGATTTCGGTTAACTAATATAAAAAATGGATAGTTAACCGAACTGACCTCATATATTTTATACTATCTATATATTATAAATGAATATATATGTATATCTATATACATATATATAATATAATATATAATATATTATTTATTATTTATAATATAATATTTTATATGTATTTCTAATTTTTATACATATTTATATATTTATTTATAATATTTTATAAAAAATAAGAAAATGAAAATTTGATGAACCAAACCGATCAATTTTAGTTACTGGTTTTCCAAAAACCAGTTTTATTGGTTCAGTTTGGAAATTAGGCCCACGTTTCAATTAGTGAATTCCCATCATTAGCCAACCCTTGGGGGAATATTAGATTTACAGTATTATTTTTGTTTTTCAAAGTCCTAGAAGAACGGAAACCGAATGAAAGGAAGAAGGGTAAATTGCAATAAAGCCACTGGTACATTTGGATTCTAATGCTTTGCCGCACTATTAGCATTTTTTTAAGATTGTGTTTTCAACCCGTTATTGACTTGGCTAGTTGAACCGTTTGAATAGTCGCCTGGTCATGATTTTGGATCTGGTTTGAGTAAAACCTAAAGAAAAGTCAAAACCAATTGACTTGGTAAAAAAAGTTGGACCATTGACCCAGTCATCTAAGTCGCGGGTTGCATAACTGTGTATGCAAATTTCGAGAGGCCATAACTTTACACTTTGATGTCCGATTGAAGTGTTTTTTTTAGTAACTTTTTGAAACGTATGTGTCCCAATGGCCTATAGGCTCATTGCCTTGCTATTTTTGCCAAAAATAAAAAAGAACTTTTTGGCATCAAATCACAATCTTTAATACTTTTTATAAAAATAATATATATATATCATATTTAAAACATAATTATACATTATTTATTGATAAAATATGTATTTCTACACACACACACACACACACATATATATATATATATATATATATATATACGAGAGTTAATAATTTAAGTATAAGATTTAATAAGAGGGGATTAAATGAGGTGGGAAGTAATACTTGAAGTTACATTTTCAACCTAACCATTAGAGATGGATTAAATACACAATTATGGTCATTTTAGTATCCATTAAAATTGGCATTAAAGGTGTAATAAAATAGCTTTTATACCCTTTATCAAACAAAGAATTAGAGGGTACTTTTAGTCCAAAAAAATTTTACATTTCATTCACACTTTTTATATATAGTATAGATAGTATAGATGTGCTTCTCATCCAAGTCTCCCTACTATTTTTTGTCTAATTTTTAGTTTTATTTCAATACACGCTTTTGACATTTGACCACATTAAAACTATATTATAAAATTAATCTAATGATTCTAAACCATCATTGGCTCAAATAGTTATCGGTTCATTGATTTGGTCATCTTTATCAACGAAGATATATGCCGTTGGAAAATCATGATACCAAAATAACTTTGACCAATCAAAACCTCCTATAAATTTTAATAAATATCATATAATTGGTTACAACTTTTATGATACATGTTCATTAGCTTAATGAATCATTTTAAGCCATCATATGCTCGAATGGTTCATTGGTTTGACCAACTTTATCAACGAAAAATATATGATATTAGAAATACATGATACCAAAAGAGCTTTGACCAATCAAAACCTCCAATGAATTTTAATAAATACCACATAATTGATTAATTGGTTACTACTTTTATGATATCGATTCCTTGGTTACATTTTTTTTGGGTCCATATTAATAGTTTTTTTATAAAAAAAATTTCATATTGCTAGAAATACATGATATAAGTACAGTTCTAGGGATGGCAATTTTTCCCATCCCCGACGGGGACCTGACTTCCTTGACCCGATGGGGTTAGGGGTGGGGATTGTTTTGGCGGGGCATGGATGGGGATGAGGATTAATAGGAATCCTCGATCGGGGTTAGGGTCGGGGATGGGGATTGAGATCCCCACCCCGCCCCAACCCCGATTAACGATTCTATATATAGATACATATATATATATATTAAATGTTATTTATATTAAATATACTATTATATTATATATATCAAAATATATTTCAAATATTATTTATAATTTAAATAATTTTTTTTTAATACAATTATCTAAAAAACATTTCAAAAAATCGGATCCCCACAAAAAACCCATAATAGAACAAATTTTATCCCCCACAAGAATCAGGAATGGGAATGAAGTTAATTTCAAATTTGGGATCGGGAACGGGGAATATGATCCCCGCCCGAACCCGCCCTGTTGCCAATCCTAACGGATTTGTAATAAAATGATCCGTTATTCCTTATGGGTGACGGGTCGAACAGACGAACCGGCCGGATCAACGACGGCTTGCAAAAAAAAAAAGCCTACGGGCAAAGTCGGCGACAATAGGCGGACAAGCCTACATCACCGGACCAGACAAGCCTCTTACACTAAGTGCCATAGGCGGTTCTCCTAAATGGGCCCTACAACAGTCACCAGCTGGAAAAGTAGAATCCACAGTGGCATAATACCGTAAATTACATAGAAATTACAGGTAAATTTCAACCCCTTCCACCCTCTCTCTCCTATATTTCTCACTGTTTCTCTCTCTTCCCGTTCGCAGTTCTCCGTCGCTGTCTGTCTTTCCTCTCTCCCCCCCTCAACCTTCACCAAATTTAGCGGCAGACATCCACTAGAGTAGATCTGAAGTTCTCCCACCGGATCCGAAAACCTTACTCCCCTCGGCCATGGAGGAGGCACTGGAGTTGGCGCGTGCCAAGGACACCAAGGAGCGGATGGCGGGCGTCGAACGGCTCCATGAACTTCTAGAAGCTTCTAGAAAGAGCTTGTCATCGGCCGAGGTTACTTCTCTCGTCGACTGCTGCTTGGATCTTCTGAAGGACAGCAATTTTAGGGTTTCTCAGGGTGCTCTACAATCCCTAGCTTCTGCTGCTGTGCTTTCTGGTGAGCATTTGAAGCTGCATTTCAATGGGCTTGTTCCGGCTGTCGTGGAGAGGTTGGGGGATGGGAAGCAACCGGTTCGCGATGCTGCTCGTCGACTGTTACTTACTCTTATGGAGGTTGGCCTTTGGATTTTATGGTGAATTGGATTTGATTCTGTCTGATCTAGTTTTTTTCCTTTTTAATTGGAATCTGCATTTTGGAATTGGTTTTAGTTAAATTGAGATCGATCGATTTTATTTTTGGTTTCTGTCGACATTTTTGTGTAAAATTATAGTTTGTGAAGTTTTTGATGGTGAGATCACACTGTACACGACGGTGGCATTGGAAAACAAATTACAGCTTGATTTATGGAGTTGGATTTCATATTGTTGCTTCGTATTTTTTCTTTTTTTTTTCTTGTTTTGATTGCTTTTCTCAACTTGTTAGTGTGTTTGCTTCTTGTTTTAACCTACTCCAAGGTTGGCACTTATTATTCCTTTTAAAATTTGTACTTTGAAAACTGATTATTTATTTCAGTGTCCTTCTTTGGTTTCGCTTAAAATCCTGAATTTTATTTGTCCAAAAGAAAAGAACTGATATTCTTGTTCTTTTTTTTTTGTTAATTTTGTCTCCAGTAATGGAAGTGTAAAATGATGACTAAACTGTTTTCTGTTTTTGATCACCCTTTGATTTGGAAATGTGTCTGTTAATCCTAAACATGGAGTTGAAAATACTAATGGTTGTATAAAACAAAAGGTGTCTTCACCAACAATCATCGTTGAAAGAGCTGGGTCGTATGCCTGGACTCACAAGAGCTGGAGAGTAAGGGAAGAATTTGCACGGACTGTCTCCTCAGCAGTTAGTCTCTTTGCATCAACTGAGCTGCCCCTTCAGCGGATTATACTCCCTCCTGTATGTTGTTTTTTTCCAATGATAGAGTTCCTTGCATTATATACATCTTTCAAGAGCCAGACTTCTATTCTTACTTTTATTTGGTTCTTTACTTTCATACGTGTGTAGATTTTGGAGATGCTGAATGACTCAAATCATAGTGTTAGGGAAGCAGCTATGTCGTGCATTGAGGTGAGTATGATTCTTTGACATAATAATTATTGAAGAATTGTATTTCCTAAGTTTAATGGTACTTCCCATTTACCCAATTAAGTAAATTAAGTTTTGTGCTTAATTTAAACCTGGCTCTTGATGTTAATTTAAAAAATTTGTATTTGCAACTTATGTTGTTCCCATGTGCTACTTGTAATTTATGTGCCATTGTGGTATCAACATAAACCATCATCCATTGATGCTCCTACTGAGCTATGTGCATGCAATATTCTAAGCAGAAGTAAACTTTTAACCCATAAACTGTGTAGCATGTTTGGTGCTCAGAGCATTTATAATTTCTTGTGTGCCAATTTTTTGTAACCACTATAAGAATTTGCTTGTAGTGTACTATTATTGGTCACTCATCTGGCATTCAAAATTCTTTCAAATATAACAGAATGATATAGAATGTCAAATTTCCACTATTTTGGTTAAAAAATAAAGAACAAATTGTATAAAATAATAAAATATAGATAAATATAAAGAATGGAAAATACGTTCAAAATGGAGAAAAGTAGAAAAAATGAGGGTAAGGAAGTTATAAAAATAGAAAAAAAAGTTTGCTCCCTCTCTTCCTTCAATGTATAAGGTATGGTGCCTCCTGTGGAAACAAAGTGAAAGACCTTTGGTGGGGAGATGTGCCATTATGCCCCTAAAAGACTTCTTTGCCACAACTATTTCTATCTCTAATCTGAAGCTCAAACCTATCTCTTCTTTGGTTTCTACAATGGGTAAGAGTATGGCATTTATTGTGTAAATTAGCTTTTCGTTTGTGTTGAATAAGCAGGGAGAAAAGGAAAAAATTCACTTAGAAGTGTACTTCAAGAACCCATGGAATGTTACAGCCTGATGCGTACCTGACATAGACACTTTATCCATTTGGGTATGTCCTTGCAACACTGCCCATGGTCCAATCACAAAAAAGGTTCTGTGTCCATTTTGAATGACAAAATTACCTTTATTAGATACACTTATAGAGCTCCATAGGGAAACAAGCATAATGATGAGCCTTATCCCTCTATCTCCTGAATTGCCATCCACACTTTATCCTCAAATGGCTTCTCGATCTCTTCTTTCTGAGATTTTGGCAGCTGCTCAAAATGCATACCATCCAAAGTGGATCTGGCCTCCACTTTAAGCAATAAGCAGAATATCTCAAATCTAAAGGGACTCACTTTTTTGATATGTTTGCCTCCATTTGGTAAGATGTGTTATGATCATATAGAGACTGTGGGACAGTGGGAGAGTTACTTGAGTAGTATTAGGAAAATGGTCTACCTGGTTTGTTGAATCATAAACCGATTGAATTTGATTAATGCCAGATTCCCGTGGTTAATTGTCTAGGTATATTATATATAGCATCTATCAGAGGAAGATTATGCAGCTCATGTCTATTAATTCACTCAGTTAATCCATGCATACCTGGCACTAGTCTGTACCCGCTTTTCTTCTCATAAGATAGCCTGATAATGTTGGGTGAGCACTTGGTACCGATGATCAGATAGCTTTAGATTGAACACTGAGTCTAGCAAGAAGGTTGAGGGTAAAAAGTGCCAACCAGAAGCTTTTTTTGAAGAGTAAATGAAAATTCATCAAATAAAAAAAGATGAGTACAATCCAAATGGTGACAAGGTGTTACCATTGCTCACACAACAAACCAACTCTTAATAAGAGCAGAAATTAATTCAAATTACAACCACTGAATTTCTAGACCATTCCAAAAATTCCTCCCCATTTCAGATCTGCTGATTTGATCAAATTCTGATAGCACCCAAACCCAATCTGCTATTAGCTTCCCAACCAGAGCAATTAGTGTTTCAGTGTTCTTTGATTTGTCCTCAAAGAGTCTTCTCTTTCTTTCATTCCAAAGAACCCAGCACACTGCAAAAAGAATGCAGCTCCAAACTATCCTTGCTTTCCTGCTTCTGTTAAAGTTTGTCCAGGAAGAGAAAATTTCTGTTGTAGAGCTTGRCTGGAAAACACTCTCCCCAAATAAAGAGAAGTAGAATCTCCAAATGACCTTTGCTGTCTTGCAAGAGTAGAACAGATGAAAGACAGTTTCTTCACCCTCCCAACATAATAAGCAGGCATTTGCCAAGTAAATCCCTCTGCTCTTTAGATGGTCAGCAGTAAGTATGCTGTCCAAAGCAACTAACCAAGTGCAAGCTTCCACTCTGGGAGGAACTGGGTTCCCCCAACACCATGTAGAAAGACTTTACAGTAAACACCCCATTCCTAGACTCTTTCTACCACAACCCATCCCTCAAAGAGGGAGAGACTTCAACTTTCTGAAGTGTTTCCAACAGCTGAACACATTCTGCTACCTCCTGGTCCAGAAAAGGTCTTCTAAACTTGGGGCACCATACAATCTGGTCACCCCTCAGTTCAAAGCAGTGGGCTACCTTGACTTGATGTTCAGTCAACTTGAACAGCTTCGGGCATTACCTCACAAAGTTTTACTGCTGCACACCACTTTAGATGATTGGGATTAATGCATCAGATGAATTAGACTAGTAAAGAACCTGAATGCCTGTTTTTTCTGGGAGGATTTCTTTGGTTTTGGCTGTTATGAAGTTGGGAAAGATGTTTCACTCAGGAGAATTATTTTTGGGTTTAAGTGGTATTTGGCATGAAGTTGCATAGCCATTGTATGCTTCATGCTGGTTCTGATTTTCCGTGTTTTTCCTTGTGGTTTTCCTTGTAAGTAGGTTATTTGTTGGGTTAACGTTTAGGACATTGGTCTGGATTGTAGGTTCCAGATTGGGGCATCAGACCTGTTGGTTGGGTTTGGGTGGTATTTGGGCATCAGACCTGTTGGTTGGGTTTGGGTGGTATTTGGAGATTTTGTTGTAGTGTGACTAGTGTCTGGGAGTTTTTCAAATGGTGTTGGTGTCACAATGCTTTTATACTTATTCTTTTCTTTTTATTGCAAAAAATCATTCTACTTTTGTTTGCCCTATCCTGTTTCTCCCACATGTTATCCTGGGCTCTTTCCTCATTTAACCATTTATAACTGAGATAGTGCCTTTGGAATCATCTCTCAACTGTCTATTTTCAGTCACTGAGAAATCTTCTACATTAGGAGAAATCCAGGCAAAATTCCTCCAGAAATTACCTCCATGGCAGAAAATTTAACAATCGCGACCCAACTTTGAAACTGTAGTGCTTGAATTATTCATGTTTTGTTCTTCTCTATCACCATCACCAGTCGTGAGGTAAACGGCTTTGGAAATGGGACCTTATTTGACATTTCCTTCCTCTTAAGCAGAATCACTCCAGTAGTACAAGGGAAGATTTTCCAGAGTAGATTTTGTCAACGTTATTCTACCCCCCATGGAGATATTAGTTCCACTTCTGAGCAGCTAGCCATTTCCTAAACCTTTCTACGATTTGGTTCCAGAAACTACAACTTCTAGGATTGCCTCCCAAGGGGAGACCCAAGTATTTCATAGGCCCAGTGCTAGTCGAACACCCAAGATCTCCTGCAATGGTAGCTAGTACATCATCATCCACCTTCACTCCAGCTACACAATTCTTCTCAAAATTTACTCTTAAGTTTGACATCCTCTCAAATAGCCTCATCAACACTCCTCCTCACCTCTTGAGGGTTGCTACCATCACAAAAAAATATTATATCATCTGCAATGTGATTGATTACTTTTCTAGAAGGTTCAGTTTTGTTTCTTGTCTATATATGTGTGGTGCCAAGATTTTGTTTGTTAAAAATTTGGCACTAATTTTTTTATCATTATCAAAAAATTTGGCACTTATTTCTAAAATGTGTTTGTAGAATAATTTCAGAGTTCCCTTCTCTGATTGATGCGGATTTGTTAACTCAACAAATTGTGGCGTGTATTTGATTAATTTTAATTGATCTTTTTCCCTTTTCAGGAGATGTATACACATATTGGGTCTCAATTCTGTGATGAACTGCAACGTCATAATCTTCCTACATCTATGGTGATCATTTAACTATTTAACATTTTCCTTTCTACATGCCCCTTTCTTATCAGTTCTATGTCTTGATTAATTGTGGTTTACCTTGGCTTTCAACGRTTGTACTTATCATGGTTTTATGTAAACTGGAGTTATGTTATCTGGAAAATGGTTTTATGAATTGCCCTTTGTTGTTGTTACTGATTCACCTTAAATGAAAATTTTGATCTGCAGTTGAAGGATATCAATGCCAGACTTGAAAGGATTGAACCAAAGATCCGTCCTCCAGATGGACTTTCAAGTCACTTTTCTAGTGGGGAACTGAAGTCTGCCAGTCTAACCCAGAAAAAGAGTAGTCCAAAGGCCAAAAGTTCAATACGTGAGATGTCCCTCTCGGGAGGTAAACGCGATTTGACTTTAAACACTGCTGAATTTGATACTAGTCTCAATCTTCTATTGGTGTTAATATGAACAAAATTCTTGTTTCAGAATACTTTTTGTACTGTTCATATTGGTGTTAATACAAACAGTCCACATTTTAAAATTCATCATAAGCCTTTATCCACTTTGGATTTTTTTATACTTGGTAATCTTCAAATTTGGAGGAGACTCTTTCTGAATGCAATTATTGGCAGGATCAACTGGTGGTCATCTATTTGAAGGAGTTCTATGGTTTCTGTTCAAACAATTTCAGGAATCAGTAGGAGTTAATTCTTTTTGGTTCCTCCCTTGATGTTTAGTCATTTATGTATATAATCTACATTGTTTTTTCTCATTTATGTAAAACCATTCATACACTGGATCTTTTGGTCTTTCACCTCATTTTTTATAGGAAACGGTAACTTAAATTAAGATAGATCATGGGAATACAGGGGCCCAGTTCCCATAAGAAAGGAAACTGACCCCCCAAAAGAATTCAATTTACAATTCAGCCCTAGTTGTCCCTTATTTGGCTAGTGTATCAGCCAAACCATTTTCTGACTCCTAACCCATCTAACAGATGCACCTAAATTCAATTTACAATTCAGCCAGAACAATTCACCCCTAGTTGTCCCTTATTTGGCTAGTGTATCAGCCAAACCATTTGCTGATCTCCTAACCCATCTAACAGATGCACCTAAATTCAATTTACAATTCAGCCAGAACAATTCACCCCTAGTTGTCCCTTATTTGGCTAGTGTATCAGCCAAACCATTTGCTGATCTCCTAACCCATCTAATAGATGCACCTAACTCCCTTGGTAAGCTTTTAATCTCCTTCATGACCTGCCTGTGGATCCAAATTCTCAAGCTACCTGTTTGTATCCACTCTATCACCAATTTTGAATCTCCCTCCACTTCAATTTGTTGAAGGTGTTTGGAGATGCTTCTAGGTGTTTCCTTAAACCTATTCGAGTTCTAATTTTCTTTTCTGTTTAATGATTTTTTTTTCTTATAAAAAAATTGTTGAAGGCCCAGTTGTTTTCACCAATCTCAGCCCTTTGAGGAGAGCTAGAACTTCGGCTCTTAGAGTCACCTTCTCCTATTGGCCCCGAATACAAAGCCACCACTGTCCCTTCTCCATCTCTTATTACTCCATGTCTCCACCAGTGCCAGATGGACCCAGGTTACCAAAAGAGCTCCCGTCAAAGTTCAGCTTCAGTCTTTGACTTGTTGATGGAGCCCAAACCTCCTGTATAATAGCCCTTGAGGTTGAAGAAGTTGCCACTGAATTCCAGTTTCTAATGGTATCATCAATGGAGACATCCTTGAACAATTCCAAAGTTTTTACTCAATGTGCAACCCTGAACGAGATGCCAATTAATTCCTCCTTTGTCTTCATCTTATCATGAAAAATATGATTATTTATTTCTCCCCAACTTGCCCAAACTATTGCTGCCCTTGTAGTTCTTCACATAGTTTTGCCCTCTTTCTTTGGCTGTCTAAGAAAGCTAACATCAAATACACCTGCAACACAAGAAGGAGGTGTCCATCTGCAACCAAAAAGATTAAAAACCATTCCCAAATACTCAAAGCAAAAGAGCAAGAGATTAAAAGGTGGCTTTTGGCTCTTCACAGGCATAGCATGGAATACAAATACTCGGGGAGAGACACCAAATTGGTCTTTACCTTTTTCTATATTTATTATTATTGCATAATTAATGTGAATTGTCTTTTCGTACCCAGAAAAGGGAAAATATACTTCTTTGTAATGAAATTCTAATTGCTTTTCTCTATAATTAGGATTTGATATTATGCAGCCATGAAGCTTACAGTGTTTGTTCCCTTGTGCTGTGTAGGAGAAAGTGATGCTACAGAAAAAACTGTAGACCCTATTAAAGTGTATTCTGAAAAGGAGTTAATCCGGGAGTTTGACAAGATTGCGTCTACTCTTGTACCAGAGAAGGATTGGTCTCTCCGCATAGCTGCCATGCAAAGAGTTGAAGGACTTGTTTTTGGAGGTTTGTATTAACTATATTATCTTCATGCCTCATCTCTTTATTTATTATTGATGAGATTAAATTTGTAGGCCACAGGGTGGGAAGCAAGAAGAGACAATAGATTAGAGGGGAAAAAGAACAACCACTCCACACACTTCCTATCGACAAAAGTCGCCCTACACACAATATCCTTCTCATCAAGAATCTCTTGTTTAATTGCTTGATATTTTCCTTTTTTTCTTTTAAATCCCTCTTCGAAAAAAATATCATACAACTTTGGTTGATCATTTCAAGAATGTTTATGGTTCCTCATCCCTCTGAGATTTTCTGTCACTGGTTTGGATTGGCCAATCCTAGACAGAGATTCAGCCGCTGACTTAGAGAGAGCCTTTGAGGGGTTTGAAGTGAAAAAGGCAGTGTTTGGGAGATTATTAAAGGAGATTTATTAGGGATGTTTAGGGAGTTCCATGAGAGGGGTGCCATCAATGGAGAAGCAAACGCTACCTTTGTTTCTCTTGTCCCTGAGTCCCCAATCACTTCTAGACCTCAGGACTTTAGGCCCATCAGTCTTATAGGGAGCCTTTACAAAATCACCACCAAAGTTCTTTTCTTGAGACTGAAGAAAGTGTTACCACTCCTCTTTCAAAACCAAGGGGCTTTCATCTTGGGTAGGCAAATTATAGACCAAATTCTGATAGCCAACAAAAATGTGGAGGAAATGAGGAGAAGAGGGTATAAGGGTTGGGTTTTCAAACTTGATTTGGAGAAAGCCTATGATTGTGTGGATTGGTTTTTCTTGGACCTGGCCTTGATGAATTGTGGGTTTGGTGACAGGTGGAGTAAATGGACTAGGGGCTGCAGCCAATCATGTCACTACTCCATTTTGGTCAACGGGGTAGCTAAGAATTTCCAAGCTAGGAGAGGTCTAAGGAAAGGGGGTCCACTATCAACTCTTGTTTACCATTGTAGTTGATGTCCTTAGTTGTTTAATCCAAAAGGCAGATGAGTTTGGCTTTCTGAAAGGCTGGCAGATAGGTAGGGAACAGGTGGTGATCTCGCATTTACTCTTTACTGATGATGTCATGATCTCTTGTCAGGATAGAGGGGTAGGGGATGTGAGAAACTTTCAGCTATTGGTGAAGTGTTCTGAAAGGATTGCTAATTTGAAAGTAAACTTGGAGAAGAGTTGTTCAGTGGGTTTAATTTAGAAGAGAGCTTCTCAAGGAGATGTGCAGAAATATTAGGGTGTGCAACTACTCAGTGGCAAATTGAAATATCTGGAACTTCCATTAGGAGGAGCCTTTAAGTGTTCTAGCTTTTGGAATCCTGTCATTGACAGATTTACTAAAAGACTAACAAGTAACAATGTTGAAGAAGAATTACATTTCCCTAGGTGGTCGGATCACACTCGTTAAATTCACTTTTGGCAATCTTCCAGTTTACTACCTTTCAGTGTTTAAAATTCTGGTTTCAATAGTGAAAGGATTGAAAAAATAATGAGAGACTTTCTTTGGGAACTTGGAAAAAGGAAAAAGGACCATTTGATTAATTGAAAAACAATGTGCAAGTGTAAGGAGGAAGGGGGTTTGGGTATAGGACAAAGAACTTTAAATAACACTTCTCTTTTGGGGAAATGGTTTTCGAGATTCCCCATTGATTCATAGAAGCTTTGGCACCTGGTCGTCAAAAGTATTCCCAGGCAACAATCTTGTGGGGCCTGCCTTCAGATCTGAAAAGTTTATTCCTCAATTCTTTTTTCTCCTTGCCAAAGAAAAGGAGAAAGGTGCAATGGAGGTGCACAAGGGCAACAATCTTGTGGGGTGTGTGGGAAGAAAAGAATAATCGCTTTTTCAGAGAGAAGGAATGAGCTACTGAAGAACTGCTTGGCAACATCTCTATTAAAGTAGTGCATTGGGTTAAGACTCTGGATATCTTCTTTGATTCTACAATGGATGGCATTCTTAGAAACTGGAAGCAAGTGGCTAGTTCTGTTTCTTGGACAGCAAAACCTGTGGTTAGTTGTGTTCCTCCACCTTTGGGACACCCAAAACTTAACTTTGATGGATGCATCCTGGGTAATCCTGGGCCTTTAGGCGTAGGTGAAGCAATCAGGGATGAAAATGGCAATATTTTAGAATTCTGCTCAGGTCCTTTGGAAATAGGAAACTCAATCTGGGCAGAGACTTTGGCAGCACTCATAGTCTCATAGGTCTGAGGAGGCTAAAAACATTGAATTTGAAGGTGGAAGTGGAAGGAGACTTAGGAACAATCATTGCATGATTAAAGGATGAGCAGAAGGTGCCCTGGAGCTATAGATATGTCTTCAGAGGGCTAAAAAATTAATAGAGGACCTCCAGGCACAAGTAAAATGGATTCCAAGGGCTGCAAAACAAGGGGTATCAAGGGATCATTTGTACTGGGGCCAATTGGTTAAGTTTTCCTTTTTCTTTTTCGGCTGTTAGCTGAGGCTGGCCTCCTTAGTTGGGATCTCCTTTATGATGCACTTTAACCTCTTTATCTAATTAATAAAATTCTCTGCTGTTGCTCATAAAAAAAATATCATACAACTATTTCAGGTATTTGTAGGGTTTCCCTAACATAGAGTGTTTTTGGTTTAAGTTTCATGTCAATTGGGTCAGTAGTTAGTTATAATAGTTCTTTTGGTTAAGGAAAATTGAAGTAAGTTTTGTATTTTTCCTTGTTTTTCAATATGAGTCTTTGAAGGAGTCTAATTGATATTTTTTTATGTATTTTATTGGTGTCTAACGATTAAGTGTAGCTTAGGTAGTTATTATTTAATGTTTTATAGGTTTAGGAGGTTGTAAAAGCTCTTCAACATTGTTAGTGTGCACTATTATCTTATTATTGTTGAGTTGTTTCTACTAGTAGAAAACTGCTGAATCAAGAATCTGTAAAGAAAAAGGATATTTCTTGAAGAAGAAGAGAAGGAGAAGAGAAGAGGAAGAGAAGAGGAAGAGAAGAGAAGAGATTGTGAAAGAAAGAGAGCAATAATTCTGGCCGCTCTCCTCACTAGTATTTATACTTTTAATTAAAAAGGGTACAATGACTAATATGCCCTTATAGGGCGGCTAACAATTAAACAGCATAAATAACTTAAAAGAACTACTGAAAAAGGGACCCAACAAGAGTGATGTGGTCCYCACTTCCTATCTAAACAAAAGATAAACAAAACAACTACTAAAAACTRCACAAATTGCCCAAAAACCTCAAATTCTCCCCCTTAAGTTGGGAGTAAATGTCAGACATTCCCAACTTGTGTAGGTTATGTTCAAGTTTGTTCTTTGCAACCCCTTTTATGAAGACATCAGYTAACTGTAATTCAGAGGAGACACAACGCAAGCAAATTTCTCCAGTTGTCACCCTCTCTCTTATGAGGTGTCTATCAACCTCAATGTGCTTTGTCTCGTCATGCTGAACCGGATTGTGGGCAATATTGATTGCAGCTTGGTTATCACAATATAACATCATGGGCTCCTTATCCTAATCTCACTGAATAGGGATCTAACCCAAAGTAGCTCTTAAACACTATGGGCCATGGATCTATATTYGACCTCTGAACTTGACCTAGCCACAATTGACTATTTTTTACTCTTCCATGAAACAAATTTCCTCCCACAAAGGTTCATACCCTGATGTGGATCTCTTGTCATCTAAACAACCTACCCAATCTGCATCTGTATATGCCTCCAATTTCAAATTCCCATGATTTGAGAATAGAATCCCTCTGCCAGGATGCTTCTTCCTACAATAAGTCCAACACATACTTCCTTTGAGAGATGAATATCCCATGCTTAGATCTTGTAACCTCAATCCCTAGGAAATATTTTAGTTCACCTAGATCCTTGATCTCAAACTCTTGTTGTAGTGACTTATTGAGTGCATCAATTTCCCTCGGATCATTCCCTGTAACAATTATATCATCCACATACACAATTAGTACTAACACAAGTGCTTCTCTCCTTTTCACAAAGAGAGTATGATCGGGCTGTCTGTGTGTATCCAAACTGGACAAGTGCCCCTCTAAACCTGTCAAACTATGCCCTAAGTGACTGTTTCAAACCATACAGTGATTTCTTCAGCCTACAAACTTTCCCCTCACTAACATTTTTATAAAAACCAGCTAGAATGTCCATATATACCTCCTCTTGCAAATTACCATTAAGGAATGCATTTTTTAACATCAAACTGAAAGAGGGGCCATGAATAGGTAGCTGCTAGAGACGAGGATTCGAAGTTTCCTGGTAATCAATACCATAGGTTCGTATATACCCTTTTGCAACCAACCTTACTTTGTACCTCTCTATACTGCCATCAACCTTGTACTTCACAGTGAACACCCATCTACATTCAACTATCTCCTTGTCTATAGGAATGTCAACTATCTCCCATGTCTAGTTCTTAACCAAAGCCTCAATTTCTTCTTGCATAGCTAGTCTCCACTTAGGTTTGGAGAGAGCCTCACTGACATTCATGGGTATAGACACAGAATCCAAGGAAGAAAGAAATGCATGGTAGGAAGGTGATAGTGCACTGTAGGAAAGATGGTGTGAGATGCAATGGGCTTTACACTTTCTCTTTCCCTTGCGGAGTGCAATGAGAAGATCAAGATCAATGGGATCAGCTGCAACATTAATGTTAGGTACAAAAACATCATCATCAGGAGAAATAACATGCTCAGGCTCAATGGAAATACCTGGAACTGTATTAGCCGAACTTGGAATCTCAAATGAATTGACGGAGAGTGGTGCAGGTTCTTTTATTGGAGCATGTGTGGAGTCATCCTCTTCTTGCGTTGGCGTTGAAAAAACTGTGAGACTGGCGGTAGTGGAACTGGAGTTGGGACTAAAGCTGCTGATGGTGGAACGACAGGTGGAAATGATGGATTAGATGAAGGAAGAGGAACAAATTGTGAGTTTTCCTCCCCAAAACACTCCCCCCGAGGAGAACCACCAGAGAAAAAGAATGTAGATTCAGAGAAGGTAACATCCATAGTGACAAACTTGTTCCTTGACACTGGATCATAACAATGATACCCCCTTTGGTTTTGAGCATACTCAAAGAAAACACATTTCTTGGCCTTAGGATCCAACTTCCTGCGATGAAGACCAAGAATGTGAACAATGCAAACACACCAAAAACATTTCTTGGGCAGCTCGTGCCTCTCCTATGGGCAGGCTGTATTGTAATATCTTTTTGAACTTCTTGAATAAAATTTCAATCATTTATAAAAAAAAAGGTATGTGAAATATCTCCCCACCTAGAAAAAGAAGACTGAGTGGCACCTTAAACCCAAGAATGCGTGAAGGTACATGGTTAATCAAATACATCATCGTGAGAACTGCATCCCCCTAAAACGAATAGGAACTGAAGCACACACCATAAGACTTCTTGCCACCTCACAATGTGTCTATTTTTCATCTCTGCTACCCCATTCTGYTGTGTATATGCACAATTACTTTGATGAATCACCCTTTGCTCCAAAAAATGTGGCCAAATCCTTCTCAAATCCTTCTCTAGCATTTTCTAATCTGAAAACCTTAGTCCTCACTCCAAATTGTGTGAGAACCATTTAGTAAAATTGTCGCACCAAAAYAGGTACCTCATCATGTGATCTCATCAAATATATCCAAGAGTATCGTGTGTAATCATCCACAAACAAAAAGAAAATAACACTAACCACCCATAGAAGAAATATGATAAGGTCTCCTTACAACAGTGTGAACAATACCAAAAGCAAAAGAACTTCTATTATTATTTGGTTTAAAAGAATGTCTACAWTGCTTTCCCAACTGACAACTTTCACACTCCAAACTAGATAACTGAACAGACTCAAACAATTTTGGAAACAAAGATCTCAATGAATTGAAAGAAAGATGACCCAAATCATTATGCCAGAGCATAATCTGATCTGACTCACTGACTTTGATCTACTACTACTGTTGCTACTAACATGATGGCTCTGATGTCTTAGAATCTCATCCAAAAGGTAGACTCCATTCACCTCACGATCACTCCCAATCGTTCTCTTTGACTCCAGATCCTACAAAACACAATTGTTAGGAAGGAAGGTCACTAAACAATTCAAATTTCTTGTTAGAGAACTCACAAAAAGGAGATTAGTATGGAGTCTAGGGACATGTAAGACAAAGGATAAAGTGATGTCATTAGTTACTTTAAYTGTCCCTTTCCTAGCAATGGGAATATGGGAACCATCTGTTGTAGAGACTCTGTCTCTACTAGAGCACAACTGGTAGGAACTAAAAAGGGTAGATATATTGGTCATGTGCTTAGATGCTTCTGAGTCTATAATCCAAGGAGGTTCCTCCTTA